TGCCACAGGGGCTGCAGCCCATGCCATCGCGGCGACTCCCGGCAGCCCAGCTCCAGGTCGAGCTGCTGTTCAGCATCTTAGCTGTAGAGGGCAGTGTCACTGGCCCTCATATGTGGGATCCGAACCGGGACCCTCTTGCATCCCAAGCCAGTTCTTAACCATCGCGCCACTCAGCCTGCCCGCCTAATGTCTTTTTTGTTACAATATTATTGACTATATTCTCTATGCTGTACATTACATCCCCATTATTTATTTGTTTTATAACTGAAAATTTGAAACTCTTATTTGCCTTCACTGTTTTCTCCTCTCTTCTTAATTTTTCAATTAGAGTTGACATTCAATATTATTATATGTTAGCTTCAGGTGTACAGCATAGTGGTTAGACATTTATATAGTTTATGAACATCATAGGGGTACCAGAAGAAGAGCAAAGTATTGAAAACCTATTTGAAAAAATAATGAAAACTTCCCTAACCTGGCAAAGGAAGTAGACATACAAGCCCAGAAAACACAGAGTCCCAAACAAAATGAACCCAAACAGGCCCACACCAAGACACATCATAATTAAAGTGCCAAATGTTAAAGACAAATAGCGAATCTTAAAAGCAGCAAGAGAAAAGCAGTTAGTGACCTATAAGGAAGCCCCCATAAAACTATCAGCTGGTTTTTCAACAGAAACCTTGCAGGCCAGAAGGGACTGGCAAGAAATATTCAAAGTTATAAAAAGTAAAGACCTACAACCAAGATTACTCTATCCGGCAAAGCTATCATTTAGAATTAAGGACAGATAAAGAGTTTCCCAGATAGGAAAAAGCTAAAGGAGTTGATCATCAACAAACCAATATTACAAGGAATCTTAGAGGGACTTCTTTCAGACAAAAACAAATAAAAAATATGACTAAAATGTCAATTACTACATATTTATCAACAATTAGTTTAAATGTAAATGGATTAAATGCTCCAATTAAAGATAGGGTGGTTGAATGGATAAGAAAACAAGACCCTTACATATGCTATATACAAGAGACTCACTTCAGATGAAAGACACATACACAGGTTGACAGTAAAGGATTAGGAAAAGATATTTCATGAAAATGGAAACAAAACAAAATGAACCCTGGGGTAGCAAAGCTTTTACCAAACCAAATAGACTTTAAAGCAAAGGCTATAAACAAGAGCCAAAGAAGGACTCAGTAATCCCACTTCTGGTTATTTATCCAAAGAAATCCAAAACTCGACTACGAGGGGCCATGTGCATCCATTTGTTCATTTCAGCATCGTTTACAATGACCAAGATGTGGAGGCAGCCTGGGTGTCTGTTGATGGAAGAATGGCCAAAGAGTAGGTGATACATATATACAGTGGAATATTGCTTGGCCAGCAAAGGGAATGGGTTCTGGCCATCTGTGGCAGCATGGATGGACCTGGAGGGTGTTGTGCTGAGTGGAGTATGTCAGATAGTGAAAGACAGATACAATATGATTTTGCTTATGTGTAGAATCTAAAGAAAAAGATAACCAAACAAGCAAAGCAGAGACAAACTCATAAATACAAAGAACATTTTGATGGCTGCCAGATGGGAATGAGGTTGAGGGAATGGGTGAAAAAGAGCACGAGATTAAGAAGTACAAATTGGTTGTTACAAAGTAGTCATGGGGATTTAGAGTATAGCATAAGGAATATAGTCAATAATATTGTAATTGCTATATATGGTGTCACATGGGTACTAGATCTATCAGGGTGATATATGGGAGGGGCAAGGGGGGCAGATCAAAAAGGTGAATAAATTAATAAGTACAAATTGGTAGTTATAATAAAATAGTCTTGGGAATGTAAAATAAAGCATAGAAAATACAGTCATTAATATGGTAATAACTCTGCATAGTGCTAGGTGGGTACTAGACTAGAAGGGGATCACTTCATAAATTATATAAATGTCTAACCACTATGCTGTACACC